CCCCTCTTTTTTTTTTTTTTTTAAAGAGAGATTTTTACTATAGGGTGTGTGTGCTTGTCAGAGAGATAGACAGAAAGCAAGAAACCACCCCCCAGGAGGATGGCTACCCCATAATTCCTTCTACTCCATCCTCCTCTGAAGACTTTGGGCATACACAGCTGGTGTGAGTTTCAAGCTGCTGGGTCCAGGACTCGAACCTCAGTCAACTACGTGGGAGTCCAGTGATGTAACCATTACCCCATCTGCTGGTTTCTATAACCCTCATTTCTGTACTTTAACTACGATAGCCACTTGAAAATGGGTTGTGTGTCTTTGTGGGAAAAGTGGTTACAGAACAGCAGGTATGGTGTAATCATTAAAAAAAAAAAATGTGCCAGAGGGTGTGTGCACTCATCAGAGAGAGACGGAGAAAAAGTAGGAAAGGACCCCGTGGTCAGGCCGCCCTCCCTTCTCCTCCATCTCTCTCTGACCTTTCCAGATCTGGGGCATAAATGCATTTGCACTGAGTGTGTTTTTCAAGCTGCTGCTGGGTTTGAGACTTGAACTGTGCAGTCAGCCATGTGGGATCCAGCTTCCTTAGCCTCCAGACCATGGGCTGGCCTCTGCTGTGATCGTTATTATATAAAAATCATTATTATAGGGACCAGCAGGTGGCATAATGGTCACATCGCTGGATTCTCAAATGGCCGACCACAGTTGGAGCCCCAAACCTAGCAGCTTGACACACAGCCAGCCACATGTGAGTGTGTGCCCCAAATCCCGAGGAGAATGGAGAAGGGGATTGCAGTGTGGCTATTCCCCGTGGGAGGGTGATTTCTCACTTTCTGTCTCTCTGGGGAGCACATGCACCCTTAAGCAAAAAAATCTCTCTCTAAAAAAGATCATTATTATATAAAATGTGTGTGTGTTTGTGCACAGATACCCATACACATCTGGAAAGTTGTTTATCTACATGTTCTTCTTTGTTTTTTTGGTAAAGAATTATTTCATTCAACTTTATTTATCCATTTATTTATTTATTTATTTGACCGGAGAGGGACAGAGTGAGAGAGAGAAAGTGAGAAAGCAAGTTGCCAGGTCCGGGACTCGAATCGTGGTCAGCCATGTGGAAGTCCAGCACCCTCAACCACCATGCCACTTGCCAGCCCCTATCTAAATATCCTTAATGCCAGAGACACTTGCATGGATATAAGAGGGAGACAGAAAGAGAGCGAGAAAAAGCACCGCTTAAATGGCATCTGGTCACACGACAGCTCCTTTGTCCTGATTCTCCATCCTGCCAGGATGCTGAGTACCTGCACACGCACCCAGTGTGTTTTTCAAGCCACTGGGGCTGGAGCCCAAGCCCTGGTCAGCCTTGTGGATTCCAACGTCCTCTGTGCAGAACCCGATTGCTGCGTTACAGGGCCAGCAGGCTGTGGCTGTGTTTGTTTAAGTATTAAAGATGATCCTCTTTGTGGGCATTTCCACGGCATTTCCACTGCCTAACACTTCTGTGTATTATTGGGTGATCAGAAAAGTCATGATGCAGGACCAGCAGATGGTATAATGGTTATGTCACTGGACTCCCACATGGCCAACCATGGTTTAAGTCCCAGACCCGGTGGTTTCAAACGTATGCCAGGCCTGTGTGCGTGCCCGAAATCCTGAGAGGAGAATGGAGGAGAAGGGATTGTGATGTGGCCATCCCTTTTGGGGGAGTGAGTTCTTGCTTTTTGTCTCTGTCTCTCTGGTGAGTGTATGTGCCCTCTAGCAAAAATCTCTAATAAATAAATAAATAACAAAAAAAGGTCATGCATTTTTGCATAGAAAAACACGAAGAAAAGTATGTCCTGACTTCTCTGACAACCTGATATTTTACCAAAAATGCATCCTTTTTTTAGAGAGAGAGATTTTTTTTTTTTTTCCATTATAGGGTGTGGGTGCTCACCAAAGACAGACAAAGAGATGAAAAGTGAGAAATCACCACCCATGGGGAAGACCACACCTTAGTCCCTTCTCCATTCTCCTCTTGGGATTTTAGGCATGCATGCACACATGTACCAGGTGTGAGGTTTTTGATTTGTTTTTGGTTTTGTTTTTGT